ACTGTGTTCCCCGAGCAGGATCAAAACAGTAGCTCCAGTCCCACTGCACTGAGTATTTTTCTCTCTGGAGTTTGTTGGATCCTCAAACAGGGGAGGAGGCTGCTTGTGGCTCCGCACCTTCGAACCAACCCCACATCTCACATACAAAGCACAGGGGATCCGAGTTGTGCAGAAGTGTTACCGTTGGCACCTCAGGAGCCAGCCCAGTATCTCTCCCACCACGGAGACTCCAGGGTCACTTCCCAGCCCAAAGCTTCCCCTGCACCGAGAGGTCTCCTGCTCCTTCTCCCTGAGCTCGCTGGTTCTTGTCCACTGCCAACAGAGACACCTTCCCCGTGCCACTAAATAGCAGCTTGTCACTGCTGATGGTTCGCTTTCCTCAGGTCCCACCACCATGGCCATTACAGGGAGCTGAACGTCCACTTTTGCTGCTGTGCACAGAACTAAGAAACATGAGCATCTGACATAAGCTGGAAGGTAGGTGGCAAGGTGGTGAGAGACTCTTGCACCGTGGAGGCTCACTGTACCCGTAACTTTGTCAAAAACTGCAGAAGGAATTGTCAGAATAGAGAATTGAGGAGGTTTAAGACACAAATCACAGCCAGTTCTCATTAACACAAAGCCCGGCAGCACTCCTTCATGAGATGGTCACTATTGCCCCAACAAGAAGTGGGCATTTTTAGTTAAGCTGGTTCTTTGTGCAATTCCCAATACACACTGTCCCCACAGCAGTTTCGGCATGACTTGAAAGGTTAGCACAGGAGTGCAGAGAAAAAATGACCAGGAGCCAGGAGCCTCAATCCAGACCATGGAGGGAAAATTGTCTTCAAAAGCGCAGGAGGCTGCGCAAGCAAAACCAGCACCTGGCCTTGCACACTGAGCAGGTCCAAGAGAGCTTGCACCAGCTTTTACAGAGCACAGCAATCTACTTCTCCTAAAGCAACTCGCCGTTGGTTGTAATCAGCCTCAAGCAACTCGCCATTGGTTGTAATCAGCCTCAAGCAACGCTTGATTCCCAAATACATTCACATGAAAACAATTTTTAAAAGGAGATAGTAACAGCCTGGCAGAGACTTAGCTGCCTGCCCTGCCTGCCTCTCCTCTAATGAGTGGTAAATTGAGACAACACCTCGCAGCCCAACGCCTTCATCGTCGGCATGCTACCCTCAAGTTGCACAGTAAATGCCCCCCCTTCTATCCCCATTTACACACTGCAGGAACAGGCATAGATCAGCCAGAGACACCCATCTAAAGATGTTTTCCTTATATTCCCAATATTATAAATTACAATTATAATTCACAATTATAACAATAGCAAATCAACACCTTAGAAACAGCACACACACAGCCCAGAAATGGCACGAAAGCCCACAGACACTCGTAAACTTAACCAAGGCTTGCAGCAATGTGCGCACACTTGCTGGCACATGGATTTTTCCCATGGGAGATACAGACCTGTCTGTATCTCCGCTCCGAGCACACCTTACAGAGTCCATTGAAGCGGTTCATGGCTGGAAACTCTAAACTCGCCGTTAGCCCATGAAAATCCAGTCCCCTCACAGCAGTTGTAATCCCGATCTCCTTGTATCACACGAGTGTGGAACAAACCACAGTCAAACTGGCATGACCGCCCATGGGAACCCAGCTCCCGAGAAGAATGGCAGGAAGCCACCTTTCACCTCCCCAGCCCCTGTCTGTGCTGTATGCCGCTTTACGATAAGCCAGAGGGCTTCCTGAAAACCCTAACTGACAAGGAAGGGAGAGAGTTTTATATTAAAATTCCTGTTCAACTATTTAGTATTCCCTAGTCCCTGCTCTGTTGATGTGGCTTTTGTTCCCGCGGCATTCTTCAGCCGCACGGAGCACTTTGTTATTGCAATGTTCTCACAAACACTTTGAGGATGTTTAAGCAGTATTTCACAGGCACCGGCTGTGTGAGCTTCACTTCATTAAAGACAGCTTGCACTCATTACACTTGTAAAGGATAAGAGAGAATTACCAAAAAAAAAAATAAAAGGAAAAAAGAAAAAGCAGAGTTTGTTTTTGAAAGCACAGACCCAGAGGATACGCACGTCCCGATGCTTTGTGCTCACAGAGTCACGGAAGGGGGAAGTAAAGAGGTCAATTGAATTGCACCCGTGGTGTAATTTTGGAATTAAAGACAAAGAGAAACTCAACACAGCCAGCAGCAGGGTGCAAAGCAGGACTTGGTGAGTCTGCACTGTGCAGCCCTGACTGCCAGCGTTGCAGCACAACCCCTTGGAGACGGGGTTGCAACGGAGAAGCAAGCACCTTCCACACTCCTACACGGGGATGGAAAAGAGAGGAAAGGCTCAAGGGAACCCAAACCCTAGGCTCCCTTGCGCGGCAGCTGGGGTGGCAGGGCCAGAGGAGGCTGTGGAGGGAGCACGAGGAGCCCCAGCGCTCCCAGAGTACCCGGCAGCATGGCAGGGCCATCGGAGGTGCTGCCCGGGGCTGCTCCCGGCGCATTGTCCCAGCCTGCCACACCGCCAGGCTGGAGCTGGAAGGAGGATCGGTCTTCCTTCCCAGCCACCATCTTTCAAGTCAGTGGCGACTGCCGGAGAGGAAGGGAGGAGAGGGGTGCTGGCTTTGTTTGTCTTGCTCAATCCTACGCTTTAAAACAAATAACTGAAAATGCAGCTGAGGGAAGCAGCAAAGCGGAATTCGGCACAGATAAATCACGGGGCCGGCTAAGCCCAACTTCCGATGCAAGCCATGTGTTTGTGTTCCCATTTCCCATCCTTGCCTTTCCTATAAATCACCGAGGCTCCACCATGGGCCTTTCCCTTCCCAGAGCAAACGGCCCTGACAGGAGGAGGGGAGCAGACACACCCGGCCACGGAGACACAGAGCTGGTCAGGGACTGATGATGTGTGGCCGGCAGCCGGCCAGTACCGGCCCCATCACTCCCAGTCAATGGCTGGTGCTTTGTGTCTGTCGGAATATACTAGAAAAACAGGAGGTCAAGGGAAAGCGAGTGCAGGATTATTACCCACATCACCCACCTCTACCAATTAATGCTCGAATGAGATAAATAATTGCCTATAAAAGCCATCGTGTCAACAGGGAGACTGACACAGCTCCCACCTCAGCATCACCCTCACTAATCCTCTGTCCCTTGGCTCATTTGAAACCCCTCCACACAGGCTCTGCTGCCAGCCAGACACCACGTCTTCGTGCCCTGGTGGGTCGCAGCCCTGTTCATACCCACCTTCAGCTGCTTCATGGTCGCAGCATCCTGGTTTTCCTGCGCTGCACTCTGACTTCCCAGCATCAGCTCTAAAAAAAAAAAAAAAAAACAAAAACAAAAAAACAAAAACAAAAACAAAAAAACCCCTGTATCAGCCCGACAGCACACATCTCCTCACAATCCCTTTCCTTCCACACTGCATCTACATGCTATATATACGCTATATATAAGTTCTTCACATGTCATGGGCACATCTCCTCCAGGCTGGGGCAGCCCTGCATGGCAGCAGCTGTGGGGTGGTTGCACATCTGGGACAGGCACTGCTGTTCCAACCCTGCTCCGTGCCACCCTGTCCTCCTCCACACACCTTGGCAGCACAACAAGCAGGAGGAAAAGCTACCCACCATCCTGCATGGACCCCAGGAGCCAAATAGAGTCTGGCCACGGGACTCAGCCCCAAGTCTGAGGCAGGGATCAGCATGATGAAAGGCCAAGCAAGAAGGAGAGATGTGGCTGCAATGCTGGGGTCCCCACAGAGCCCCAGACAGCCACAGGTAAGCAGGAGCGAGGGTTGAAGAGGAGAGTTTGGTGCCTGTGCAGAACCTGCTGAATCGGCCAGGATATGCCCCACGCTGGTCTTTTGGGATCCCAGCGCCCACTCGTGAGGGCATAGGGTGCCATGGGGCTGGGGGATGCTCCATACCAGCACAGGGATGGATACAAGGTTGACTCCTCTTCCAAACCTTGCCAACACTCCCCAGGACATCGCAGTGAGGAGACGCACCTGTGCTCGGCTTCAGCCGCCGCATGGCCACCTTCAGGTGCTTGGTCCTGCCCAGGTCCTCTCCGAGGAGATAGTACCAGCCGCTGATCTCCTGGGTGGGAGGAAAGCAGCTATCGATGCAGGGGCAGATATTCACCCCCATTTAACTCAGTCTGGTTGCCCACAGTCCCAGATGGGTCCCGTTGCAGGAGCTGCCCCAGGCCAGTACACAGAGGCCGCCCAGACTTGCTCTCACACAGAGGCACAGCCCAGAGTCCTTCTCTTATAAAGATAAGGATAAAGCAACAGCTAAAATTCCATCCCCCCTGCAAGGAGGGACCAAGCATCACTGAATTAACAAGCTTCTAGGTTTTTAGAGGGAGACAAGGTGCAGAAAACCAGCCAGTCTCTAGTAAAACTGTCCATATCACGTTTGCAGCAGCCAGCAGTCTCGCAAGGAGCACATGGCTCCAGCTTTATCAACAGAGGAGGATGCCCAAATCAGCCTTCGGCAATGCTGGGTGCTCCTCAGTGGGGGTCCCTTTGCCTCTGTCCCATACCCATGTGGCCAGGGCAGCCAAGAGGACAGAGCCGACCTTGGTGATCCCTCGCCTTTCTTCCAGGGAGCTGCCACTGTCTCCCACCGCTCCCTGGGCAGCCGGCAGAAGCCAGAGGGACCAACCGTCCTGGACCAAGCCCAGGAGACAGATGGGGTTGCAGGAACCATGCTCCCTGAGGCCAGAGGAAGGGACTCATCTTAAAATATGTGTTTTAAATCTACAATGAGGAAACTGAGGAAAGGAGGGGGATAACCAGCAGTATCATGCAGCACCCAGGAGACAGGGCCAGCTCATCTCAGCCCCTGCTGAGGTCCCAGGAGGACCACATGCCCCCAGCATCCTCCTCCCATCCCCGCAAGAGCAGGGTGCTGTGCGTGGGTGCTATACACACAAACACTCCGTCCTCTGCATGCAGCGACACTTTGTGAAACTCACTGCCAAAATCTGAGAAGGAAGGGACATCTCTAGGGAGGCCAAATATGACCAGAGCAGAGGCCCCTCCTGCGGAGAGCTGCAGTTTAGAGCTGCTCTGCCTAATTACCTTCACCGTTATAAAAAAGCTGCATCTCACTTGTCCAAATTTCAGAGGAGACTACGCTCAAGCTACCTCTTACCCTCTTCTCAGGCCACTGCCACAAACAGCTTCTTTTTAACCTCTTGCTAGGGAGTAAATTTCCACACCTCAGGTGATGTATTAACACTTTCACGAAACTATTCCAGCTTGCCAAGATACTCTGATGTACAGAGGATGTGACCAGGGCCGTCCAGGGGTGAAATCCCTAACCACTGGCAGCTAGGATGAAACATTTCCGTGTTTAAGTGGGTCGGCAGGAGTCACTTGCAGCCGTAGCCTTGCAGGTTTCTTTAGGAAGGCGAGCCCAGCTGATGTGAAGGCTGTATTACCAAGCAGCAACCGGGCTGGGGCAGCAGTACTGTGACCAAATCCACAGCGGTGGGGACATGGATTCCGGCACAGAGAGAGCCTGGCAGCACCCCTGCCTCCAGGAACAGCCCCAGACCTCTGCATTTGCCCTCTGCCCACCACCACCACCACCTCAGCTGGCGAAGCCCTGGCTGCTGAGCGCAGGGAATCGGGCAGATTTCCTGGAGGAGGAGCGTGTCCCCACCATGACACCCACTTCACCATGGGTCAGATGTGACACATGCCAGGCTGAGCGAGGCTGGCCCCATCTCCTGCCCCCCAGGCAGCCCTGCTGCAAGCAGGACAGGCAGGACTCACTAAGGTCACCTCTCTGCACCCCCAATTGCTGCTACTCTCTGTGTCCCTGCAGAAGAGAGTGACAGTGCCCTGTCCTAGGATCCCTCCTCTAACAGCTTCCCCATCCCTGCCTCCAGCAATCACACCACATCAGTCTCAGTGGCTACCCATACTGGGAATGCGACCAGGGAACTCCCTGGGCACCTTCAGAGCATCTTTGTCCTACAGTGGGAGAAGCCTGCTCCTGCCCCAAGGGTGCACTACAGCCACCCACCGACCTGAGAGTCAGGCCCCTGTCCCACGTGCTGCGCTCCGGCATGGAGGTACCTTGTCCGGGGTCAGGAGGGACTTCACGCCAAAGCTCATGCAGCCGATCAGTTCGCTCTGTCTGCGGGAGAGCCAGAGACCGTCAGCACACACTTTTTGAAAACTCCCTAGGCACCAGCTCCTCACATGCACCCTTTTGCAGGGACCCCGCAGACATCCCTGCTCATGCCAGGAGCCAGGCAGTGCCCAGCACATGCCTCCCTCTCCACGCTTTGAGCAAGCACAATGTAACCACAGGGCTCAGCTGCAGCAGGGCAAGAAGGAGCTGAAGCATCCTGGTCACCTCCAGCCTACCTGATGCTGGCAGGAGCTTATCCAAGGAGGCAGATGCCACTTGCCTGAGTAGGCAGCATAGTATGTGAGGTGCCAGACCCCTTGCTGCTGGGCTTTCCTCCTCACTGCATTACCCTTTTAGTCCTCAACTCAGAGCCAGGCTCCAGCCCCACCTGGCTCTAGCCAGCAACGCAGGCATGAGTGGCTGCAGAAGTTTTAAATGCTGGTCTAGCTGATGGCTACCAAGCAGCAGCAGCAATGCCAACAGCGAGCAGCAAGGGCAGGATTTCCTCTCCACCAGCCTGCACACAGCATGGTGCTCACCAGCACGGGCTGCCCATGCCCGTGACCCTGGCCAGGGCACCCCACCAGCAGGTCCCAGTCCCAGCCCCTCTGCTCAGCTCCTGCTGCCTCCCGGGCCCACAGCCTTCATGCAGGGCAGCCCTGATGGCCCAGGAGAAGCTCATGTGGGGTGGCCAGAGCAGATGGCAGGTTCACTGCTGACCCAGCCCCGTTTGAAAGATATTGTACGGCAGGCTGGCAGCCCCTTACCTGGAATTTCTCTCTCTGTTCCAGACTGTGACCAGGAGACGTTTCTGCTCATCCTCCTCTTGCACCGGGCTGTAACAAGCAGAGGGGACAGCCCATGAGCACTGAACTTCCCCAGGAGTACTTGGGAAGGGCTGCCCTGACAGCCAGAGACCCCTCACCCTCCTCAGATCCAATTTTTCTCCATTCTCTGCATGGAGCACTGCAGCATCACCCCAAATGGCAACCTCCTCAAACGAGTCACTGTTGCACTAATTCATTCGTTCCTGACAGACAACTGCAAAGGGATGTGACCTCTCCTGGGCAGGTGCTGGGGTCACCGCTCAGGTGGTTTAAGGGGAAAAAAAATCTTGCAGAAAGACACACATCCAACATCAAAGGGTAAATGCAAGGTTCATGCTCTGAAACAACCACTCTGTGTCAAATTAAATGCTGCGCAGGGACAGAGGTCTGACACAGACTGGTTAGCTAGCAATGACAAGCTCTACTGAAACACTAAGAGCCATACAGTTCCTTTCCCATGCAGAGGCATGCCGTAGCTACAGGAAATCCATTTACCTTCATTCATACCGATGCCCATACTATTGTAGGTGTAAGGTCTAGGAAATGAAGTGTGTTTGCCCAGCTCCTGCCCCGCAAGAAAGTCCAACCGTGCAGGAGCCCCGCTGCCCTGCTGTGTGCTGACAGCTTTGTCAGCCTTTGCAAAGCTCTGCCCAAAAGTTCAAGGCATTTCAGCTATAAAAAAACAGCAGAATAATGTCTGTCACTCCTCATCTCAGCAGCAGACCTGCTCATGCATGATGTGCGGTTATTATAGATCATAAAGCAAAAGCAAACACAGGGTCTCGGTTTCAAGAGGGTGCCCCAGGACAGCAGCCACGTGGGTCCCCCACTGCTCAGTGGGAACACGGTGCTGATGGATGGATCACAGCTACTTCTGCCCTGTCATACTCACAAAAGAAAGTGCTCACGGAAGACAGGATTTTTGCTGTCTGGCACAGTCTTCGTCTTTTGCCTGCATTTCCAGTCAGCATCTGGCACAATGGACATCTTTGCGGAGAAAAACAAGCAATGTGTTAACACTCTCAAAGCGAGCATGGGCACACAGCTGCCAGCTCTGCCGCTGCACTGGCAGGAGACTCCCCCAGCCACTTTTATGGATGGCTAAGCCTCAAAGATCCAACTGAGCCTATGCTAACGGGTGGTTTAGATCACTTCACCCTTTGTGTGTCAAGTAATCGTGTTACACAACTCCTGGAGGTAGGGGAGGGAAGGAAAAGAGCAGAAAAATCCAGGACTGATGTACACAAATGTTGCTGGCTGGTCTCTGACTTGCAGTCCCCTCGTAGGGGAGATGCTTCCTGCACTGTGCACACCACAGTGGGAGCAGCCTGCCAAGGTGGCCTCCAGGACAGCCTGGAACCACATCGTGCTGGCCGAACACTTATCCCCACCAGTCCTTGGGCACCCAGTGGGATGCTCTTGCAATGAATAGTTGACACAGCGCTTAGCAGGGTCCTGTCCTCAGCTTTTCTGGCTCCATGCAGACACCATGCCAACAAAACCTGTGAGCCCTCCAGCGCTGGGCAAGAGACCAGTCACCTCCCTGCATGCTGTGGATGCTCAGCCAGAGCAGGATAGAGGAGGAAAGGGAAGGGACAGGCAGCCCAGACCATGCTTGGGGAAAACAACCACAAAATCCCAAGAAAGCACAAAGCTCCCCGAGCGAAGCCCCAGGAGAACCCACCTTCACGTAGGAGTCGCATGTCCGGTACTCCTTCCCCATCAGACCTTTTGCTTCCATGACTGGAAAGAAAATGAAACGGTCATGCCCCAAAGCAGCAGGGAAGGCATCTTCCTAAGTCGCAGCACTCTGCTCCTTGGGGTGCTCCCTCCTTGTGAGGCCGAACCCCCCCAACAGGATCCTGCACACACCTCCCCAGCAGCCTGGTCTCACTGGGCACCCACAAAGAGGTGAAGGGGTTTATTGTACTTTTTCTTTAATATACCCGTACTATAAATACAAGCGTCTGTGGGTGAGGTTGGCAGCAGATGCAGTTCAGCATGCGGATGGCAAATTGCATTTCATTTGCCTGACTTCACACACCTCTGGGCTCCCTGCCCCGGAGCCAAATGTATCATCAAGTTAAATATCAACGGCTGCATCCTGATGGCAGCCCTGCCAGCAGGGACTCAGCATCGCACCGCTGCTGACAGTTGGGAACGCTGTGCTTCCCAGCCATGCGGCTGGAGGCAATGGATGTGCAGCAGAGCTTGGATAGCCCAGGACGGACTGTCGGAACAAGGCTAAGCTCCCTCCAAACAAGCCTGGCAAAGCAGCAGCGACTTTGCCTTTGTCAGAAACAGGTACATGCTCCTAATAAATACAGTCAGCCCGACAGAAACCACAGTGCACAAGGGGAAAGGGGTTCCACAAGACCCTCTGGTGCTTCACAAAGCAGTTTGCAAGGTTCCTCCAGGACAGGCTGCATGAAGGGCTTCCTCCTCCAGCCAGATCTGCTTTGGGTTTAAAGATACTGGGGTGGAGAATGAAAAAGTAAGATGGTTCACCCCACATCACCCAGCCTCCTCCTGCCCACACTGCGTACCCTGAGCACCTGGCATGTGCAGCGGGATGTCGGGTCCCAGACCTTGAGCCTCCTTTGCCTCTCTGCTGGACCATTTCCCTCTCCCCAGCCCCTCTTTTGGAGACAGAATCAGAACAAGACACTGACTCACACCCAGCTCATGCTGGGGCTCCTCCAGATAGCAGGATTTGGGGTAAAGCCTGTGCCAGACCCTCAGAACCACACACAGCTTGGAGGGAGAAGAAAAAAGAAGAAACCCACACATTTTTCTGCTGTTGTTTCTTTACAAAGCTTGCCTGCACAGCTGGAAAAGGGCAGTAAGCTCTCGTGGCTAATGAATGGCTAATGAACAGGGGCTGTGCGTGGCTCAGTCAGTCCCTACAACCTCACCAGGCTCAGGCCATCCTCTGCCCCCATTTCATCGCATCCAGGCAGGGGTGAGGCTGGGCTGTAAGGTGGGATGTTGCTCAAGAGAAAGCCTTTCTGTCCCCTCCTGCCCTGCCGTAAAGGTCTCTGGGGTGGGGGTGCCCTTCTCCCCAAAGCATGGTCCCCCCCAAGAGCACTGGGAGTCCCAGGGCCCTGGTTCCCCCTTTCAGAGCAGCAACGAGCTCCAAGGCAGCAACAAGCCTGCTCTGTTCACAGGGAGAGAATTTTTACTCTGATTATTTCAAACTCTTGGCTTTTTCCTTGATTCTTTAACCATTTACTTATTGTGAAGTCCTGACGAGTCCCTGGTAAAGAGCTCTGTGCCAGAAGATCAGGAGATATACATCCTTCGCTGCAGGAGCAAACCTAAGGGCCCCCCCAATTGTCTCCAGTCAGGTTTTTCCTAACGAAAAGAGCTAGCGCTGACACTCTCATTGGCCTTTCTAATGAACACCATTAAAGCTGCAGTGACACAGTTCCCTGGGACCTGCCTCATGGCTGCGACGGAGCCGGTGTCCCAGGTGCTGCATCGCTTTCCTATGCCGGTACCCAGCAGTGGTGGCCAGGCCTGAGTCCCTAGAGAAAGAAAAGCATCTCTTGTTCCCAGTGGGATATGCCATGGCTTGAGGGACAGCAACCCCAGCCTTGACCAGGTAAAATGCTTTTGTTGAAGAAATATTGCTGGTGTTAAAAAAAAAATGCAGCATTTGGAAGTAACAGAACGATTTGGAAATCCTAGTAAATGTGCCAAATGGTTTTGGCCAATGTAAAAGATGTTTCAGCAGAGATAAAGTATTTCAGATTTTGTTTTCCAAATTGTATTTGCCTTTTTTCTCTTCACATGGAATTAAAGAAAAAAAATTCATACAAGTGCATGCAAAACACACCGTAGTCACCTGGAAACAAAGGTCTCCAGAAATTTTGGTTTGGCCTCTAAATCAAAGAGCTCCCAGTCACGCCATTCTACCACAGAGTTGTTCTCGACAGCTGCCGTGAAGCTCCGAAGGGCTTGAAGAAAGGGCATGGAAGTGCTGTCCCCATTGCTAGCCCACCACGGCTTTGCGGCCACCTCACCACATGCCCCAAGGAGATACTCACTGTGCAGCACCAGGATCCGGCCCTGCACCTCGATGGACAGCTTCAGCTGACCTAGAGGGAAGGAGAGGAGAGATGGTGAAGGAGGCAGGGCTCACCCAACGTCCCTGGCACTTGGCAGTGCAGGGACCCCAGGGCTCTGAGGTTTGTACCGGGCCAAACCCATCCTGCTTCCCCACCCCTGGGCATGGGGGCATCGCTCAGGGAGCCAAGGGGAAAGAGGTAGGGAGGAAACATCTTCTACCAAGAAAGTCTTACAGCTCCAGATGCAAAAACATTCCAGGAAAACCTGAATACTGTTTTTTCAGCATACAGTAAACTCCTATGGCAGGAGGCACGAGCCCATGGCAGAGAGGAAGTGGGAGCACGGAGATGAAACAGTCACCGTGGGATGAATTAGCCCTTGTTTAACAGAGGGATGCAGCATGCTCAAATCTCCCCCCAGCCCAGATTCAACTTCCCCTTTGCCTTTCCCTTGAGCTTCTGTGCAGGCAAGGGGCTGTCACCCCTGCAGAAGGTGACAGCAGGCCAAGCTGCAGACGGCCTGGACGAAGGCCAAGCACAACTGGTGCCTTCGGTAGCAGGAACATGTCGGTACAGGGTCAGCCAAGGCTGGCTCCGCCGGGGGAGCCTGAGCCATGGCACTAACCTGGTTTCATCCATCCACGGCTGCAGGACCTCGCTCCATGCACGCCTCCTCCCTGCTTGCCCTACTGCATGCTTCATCTGTCCAGGATGGTTTTGTGGAAATGGGAAAGCCTTAAAAATCCCTTCACTGACTGTCACGTCCAGCAACAGTTTGTTATCTCTGGCACTATCGAGCAGAGAAGACGCAGTGACAAGGACTAATGCAGCACTGCTCACAGGTCAAACCCAGCCCCCAGGAATCAAAGCATGGCAAGAGCTCCCGCATTGCAGCCTCCTGCATTTCCTGGGGATCCTAGACAGCACGGGCTCATGAGCAGACAGGTAATCTCCTAAAACCAGAAGTCAATACTTGCTTTAATCTAGGATTAAACAAGAATGGTTTCCAGTCATGTGTTTCGACACTGAATAACTGTCAGGTGGCCAACGAAGCCAGGAGCAGCCAACCCCCAGGGCAGAGCAATGCTCCACCATCCCGCAATCCCTCTGCCACAGAGCCCCAGGGAGGGCTGGGACCAAGCGGGAGCCCTGGCTCCCAGTGACACAGTATCTCTGGGGAAGGGCCTGACTCCCTGCACAACAGCACCGAGAGCTTTTGATTGAGGAGGTGGTGGTAGGGGAGAGTCTTGAGAAGCTACATGAAAGAAACATGACTTTGGAGCAGGTATGGATGGAGATCCCCTTTCTCCCAAGGCACTAGCTTACTCACAGCCACCCACCAAGCCAGGAAGCAGGACCCGCCTGTCTGGGGTGCCCAGCTCCCCACTGCCAGGCCTGCCAAGCCTTGCAGGTGATCTGCTCCCCATTGTCATCATGAGCAGAGCGAGGAGCACGGTCAAGAGATCTAAGGCAGGATGGTTCCAGCAGTCATTAAGAGGCCAAAAAAGCAGATCTTAATAAGACCACAGGGGCATGCACTTCTGCCCCTCAACAGGGCACAGTATAACACAGAAGAGAAAGAGAGCTCAAAGTGCCAAGATCTGGTGCCTGGAGCGAAGGACAGGATCTTTCTTGGAGCAGGAGATTGATCTAACTTGTTGAAGAATGACTCAGGACCTAACCTACTCCACAAGCAGCCCTTAAGGAGGAGACTTTTCCCCGTGTGGATTGGCACAGCACAGCAGCAAGAGCTCACTGTGGGACCCAGCAGTCCCCCGTGGGTGCTGCAGAGCCCACCTGTACAAGACAGCAGCCCAGTAGGCAACATTTCTACCCATCAGTGCCTTTTAAGCTACCTAAGGTGAGAGAGGAATGAAGGACTCGGAGCAGAGAGAGGAGGTTGAAGGGATGGAGCCAGGGAAGTATCAGACCAGGGTTCTACAGAGAGCGGACCAGAGTAACTCAGCCCAGCCTGGGTATCCCCCTTGGGAATTGCTCTCCGTGTGGGCTACGCAGGCAGATTCAACCCCTGTGCTCATGAGCTTGTCTGCTTGGGACAGGGTCAGATGAAACCCAAGTACAAAAGTCCAGGGTGCTCAGGCAGGCCTCTGAATCCAGAAACTCCTCTGCAGAGGCGCAAGGACAAGATGGGAGGATTATTTCTAAAGAAAGAACAAAGGAAGGAGCATCCCAAACAGGCCTTTGGCTGGTGACAGGCAAAGTCACCACCTGCAAACACAGTGTCCACAACTGCAGAAGAACCCAGTGCTCACAGCCCATACAGCATCCACAACTGCAGAAGGACATACTGCTCACAGCCCGCTCTGAAGCGGAGCTGAGAATAAAATCTAGTTCTTACACAGTTCCAAATCCAACCTGCAGTTCCCACTGCCTTTCAAAATGCCCATGTCAGATTCCTGACCTCCCACTTCTTATCTGGAGCTGCAATTTGTGATTTTCAGCACTGTCTGGACCTGTCTGCCAGCAATTGATTCCCCAGCACAGAAAACCCAACCGGTCACAGACCCTGTGCAAGAGGCCAGTGCCTGGGAGAGCCACACGTGTCAACCCCTGCTGAGCAAGGGCACGGGTCCCAGGGTGGCAGCTCTGCTCTGCCAGTTTACTTACAGTTTTACACTCGCTTTCCCATGTGCTACCAACTCTGCATCAGCCCAAAAATCTGTCCACAATACTCAGACTGGCACGAAGACTTAGCTGACGGCATCTGTCAGGGTCTGGGTGAAACACTGCTGGGGTACAGAGTGGGCTACCAGCCCCTGGTTCGCTGGCCCCACTCAGGCAGAGAGGGCTCTGCCCCTCTGAACGCCTTCTCAAGAGGATTCCCTGGGAACTGCTGCCTGCCAGCTGGGATAGGATGTGCAGATTTTAAGGGTGATGCAGGGTCTAAAAATATGTGTAAATGTTCTGGACCAACCCAAAACTAAACATTTCCCAGCGCTCCTAGAGAATCAAAAGACTGAAAGCATCATTAGCACAACGTTTCATTTAGTCCAAAGCAAAATATCTCATTTTCAGTTGTTTTCCAGCTTACAAAACACAACAAACAAAATAAACTTGTAAACATCATTTACAGACATCTAAAAATCTTTCAAATGAAAAACCAACATTTCATTTTGCAAAAGACACAGCCAAGGGCTTAGGCTTGCTGGGGTGGGGATATCTCACAGGACGGTTTAACCTGAAACAATTCAGAGAACTCATCACAAAAAACCAGAAAATTTTCAAATCTCCCTCCAGCCCACATGTGTGTCCCTGTGTGTATCTGCATGTTTGAGAGCACATGTGTGTGCACATGTGGAAATGCACATCTTTATGTGCATTTATACACAAGCAAGTGAGAGGAACATGAAAAAGTAAAGACAAGACCCAGGTGGAATAAATCAGGACAGCTCTGTTGAAGCTAATATTGATTTACAACAGTGAGAATATTGTCCTCCAGTTTCATCATGCCACCACAGCCTTTTGGACCAAGACTTTAACCCTTCTGCTATCTCCAGATCTTTGACGCTGTGGGAACCCTCTCGCTGTTCCACTATTAGCATGTAACAACCGTTACAATACTAAAGCAAAATGCCCTCGTTTAACCAAGCATGACGAGGAGTCAGCCCAGTAATGAATGGGCCCTGGGGAAAAGAAAGGAAGCTTTTGTGCTGGGCAATTTGGGGCGGGGGGGGGAGGAAGCTCTACACCCAGCCCTGGCCTGGGGATGGCTGGGGCTGCTCAGCTCCTGGGGTAGCACATGGGGCCAAGGTTTTGGCACAATGAGGGATGGGATGGGGTCACACGGGAGGCAGACTCTTGCATTGCTGCTGCTTCTGGTGCAAGGACAGTGCCCACGGTCCCTGTGTTGCAGGCTACAGCAGCACCGAAGAGAGGAGCGCAGGGAGAAAATGGGCAATTTTGCCTTTTTCGGATGTACCACAAATTGGCCCCTAGTAGAAAAGGTTTGGGAGCATTGGTGGGAAAGGTCCTCCCCTTCCTGTGAGGAAGGGATGCATTCTCTCAATGCATTTGCTCCCAAGCGTCTCCAAAGCACACGAAGGGACAAATCACACACCCCAGCCAGCCTGTCTGACCCCAAAGGGGTCCCAGCCTGCTCATACCAGGGAAACACTCGTTGGCTTTGTTGCAATTCCAGTGCTTGATCAGAGAGGGAAGCTGCTGTTGGGAAAAGCCTATCCTGCCTGAGCTGGTGGAAGGGATTTGCTGTACCAGCGTCTGCACTTGGATAGACTGGCAGCAGTCACATTTTCTCAGATGCATGGGGCAGCAACTTTCCTCCAGACCTGGGTGGGCAGAAACACAACCCCTATCAAGGCAAGTTCTTGGGCTGTGTTTCCACCTCGCTTCAGGAGTGGAGGGTCACAGAAACATTATCCCCTGGGTTTATTTCTTTTGGTACATCCCTAACACAAACTAAGGGAAACAGCTTCAGCAGAGATGCCCTGACACAGCATGTCTAGGTCACCTGTGTTCAATAAAGGTTAATATAAATGAAAACAGGTGCAGAGAAAGGCCAAAGGGAGACAAAAGAGCAGACAGCTCGTCTCACAACAGGACCCACACACAGCTCCTGGGTAAGCATCCCATCATGGAGAGCAGGGCTCAGATGGGCTCACAGGGCTGCAGCAGAGAAAGCACCCAGGCCTCGTCCATCCAGACCCCACAGGAGAGACAATTCAAGCTGATGAACAAAGCTGGCACAAGAAGAACAGGGAAAAAACAGGCATGAACAAGCACAAGATGGTCATCAAACAGGTTTCCACCCACGAGAGAAGTTTGCCAGGCTAAAGTAGGGGACACATGAATGTTGTCCTTTGGGAGCAGACCAAGCAGGCAGGAAAATCTGTTCCTTGCTGATGAGCTCTGACAAACGGAAAATTTGGGTTTCTGCTCCTTAAATGCTTTTCTGTTTTATTGTAGGAAAAATGCAGGTTTTGCCCTAGCTGGGACAGCCAGGAACCATCAGTGCACACACCAGGGGGGATTCTTACCAGAGGAAAGCAGTG